TATCAAGGGGCCATGGGGGGGGGGGTTGACACCAAGGGCGCTATAGAAAATAATGATGGCAACATATGTACAAATATGCTTGACACAATTGATGTATGGATTGTTACAAGAGCTGTAAGAGCCCTCAGTAAAATGTTTAAAAATAAACAGAGAACATTATGAACTTTACACCAATAAATTAAAAATTTTAATGGATAAACTGCTAAGAAAAAAAAAAAAGAACTTACCAAAGCTAAATCAAGAAATAAAACTGAAAAGCTTGGTAACATTCAGAGAAATTAAATCTACAGTTCAAAGCCACCCCACAAAGGAAATGCAATCCAGACAGCTTTACAGGCAAGTTCTTCCTACCACACATTCTGGAACAATCTTCCACAAACTATTCTAGTATGCAGGCTAAAGATGATTTTTTAAAAAAAATCAATTTATTGGGGCTCATACAATTCATCACAATACATACATCAATTGTGTAAAGTACATCTATACATTTGTTGCCCTCATTATTCCCAAAATTCGCTTTCCTCTTGGGTTCCGGAATCAGCTCATTTTCCTTTTTTCCCCTCCCCCTCCCTTCCTCCTCCCCTCTCCCCCATGCACCCTTGATAATTTATAAATTATTATTGTATCTTATATTACAAAGATGATTTTTAACAAAAAGCAGTGTACATACCTGCTTCGTCAATTGTTGGTACTTTTTCTACTTTCATAGCTTGCGACCCAGGTCCTTCTTTCTGCACATTGGTGGAGAACAACTTCACTTGATTCAGTGCACAGGTGTATGGGTGACTACAGGGAGCCATACTTGAAAAGCTTCCAAAAGTCACTAAATTTTGCCATTCTAAAAGGAAAAAAAATTTTCTTATTTTAAACAACTCATAACAATTTTTATGCACAATAAAATATGCCTAATATGTTTAAAAGACTAATGCTACAGAATAAGAGTAAAATGTTCATACTTCTAAATATCCAAATGCACTATCCAAAACCACTATCTTTACTGGAGATGTTTTATTCACCACTTCATACGTACACAAAGGAGCTCTGGCAGCACTGAGGGTTACACGTTGAGCTGCTAACCAAATGGTCAGCAGTTCAAACCCACCAGCCATTCTGCAAGAAAACAATGAGGCTCTTTGCTCTGGTGAAGATTCACAACCTCGGAAACCCAAAGTCCTACTCTGTCCTGTAAGGTCACTATGAGTCAGAATTATCTCAATGGCTGTGAGTTTGAAGTTTAGGTAGACAGGGTGAACGTGTACATAAATGAGGACAACTTTCTTTTTTTCCCTAATTTGTAAATTTATTTCTATGGGAGCTTTTATGAACACACGGTAGAATAAAGCATTGATATTATCCAGCTATTCTGAAAGGCATTTGGCACATACTACTTTATTTTATATGCTGGCTGAATACTTTTTATTAAAGTATTCTGTACTTCTCAGAATCTAAGACCCTTGGTGGAGTGGGAAGCAGAAGGGCTGCCTCCTTAAAATTACTCTGTGCCCTCGCTCCACTGTTGGGAGCTGCATGCCTTTCATTTCACAACCAATAAGTCAATTACATGTACCAGTCATCCATACTGAGTGGTTTTTTAAATAGTCAACTGTATTACTGATTTTTAAAAATCAGATAGTTCCATCACCTCAGTATATGGGAAGTCTAAATGACAGAGAAACAGAAGGCTAATTATGAAGCCCTTCAGCTGCTGCATCCGCACTGCCTATGGAATTTGGGGGGCTGAAATAAAAGCAAAATATATTCTACAATTGTGTAGAGGGGGCAGAAAAATAAAGAAATAAATGTCTCCTCTCATGTGACTCTCCTCTTTTATTTCTTAGGATAGGTACTTAGGATTTTCATTGTTGAAAGAAGTTAACAACCCTGACTAAATATAATTAATATTTTCAAAATTTTAAGGTGAATGACATTGCATTATTAAAGATACTCAAGTTGTTCCAGGAGTGGAGAGTTAAGCAATTAAGAGCTGGAGAGTTACTGATGATCCAAATTGTTTGTTCATGTGCGTGTGTGCGCACATGCACACAGATATATCCATTTGAAACATAGAGAAATAAACCTTTTATTGACTCGGAGAATTCACCAAGAATGTTATTGATAATGCTGAAAATAATCAGGGACATAAGGTAGCATTACTAGCCAAGGTAGCATTACTAGCCAAGTCTTAGCTTGAACTTCTTTCTTGCAAATTCCTTGGGGAAGGGTTATAAGAATCAAGGGCTACCTTGAGAATTATAGAGACCTAGATGGTTTCTAGGGCCACACTTTGATATTTTGTTTAATAATGGATTCTGTGGCTCTGTAGCAATACTTTTTTACTTACCCTCATTTATCTATATGTATAAAAGGGCTTCAAAAAGCTCATGGAAAAGATGGAATGAAAAGATAATGGAAGTTTTCCACAACGTGTTTTGAAGCGTCTTCACATATATACCTCACTGGATTTGCTCCTCTAGAGAACCTAACCTAAGACTACCGCTCCACTACCAAGAAAAGCTTTTAAATAAAGTAACCAATACAAATATATCCACTGCTAAATTAGCTGGGATTCAAATCAAGTACTTATTAACATCACCACAATTTGTGGTAGTGTAATACTAAAACACTGACCATAACTGTTTATATACTTTTATTCTTCAGCTTGCCAAAAATACAGGAATGATGTCCTATCCCTGCCTAATCATCTAGCAAGTGAAAATGTAACCTAGAGACGAGGCAGCTCAGCTTAGGTGACGACTGCAGACACTCGGTTTTGCCAGCACAGAAGGTGACAGAGGATCTCTTGACATCCACCCTCAAACACCCCCCCACTTTTTCTTTTTTTTTTAAGAAAGATGCTGGCAGTGCTTCTCTTCACGTGTGTATGAGGGGGTCTTCAAAAGGTTCAGGAAAATTTCCTGTCTTTCAACTCCATTTTCCACAAACTTTTTGAAAGCCCCCTCTTATATTTCTATTGTCTTGCTTAATTCTCTTTAGATATTTGCCTTTAAAAAACCCTGCAAACAATACCGATAGCTAACATACTAAGCATTCACAACAATACCAATATCTAAGATACTAAGCACTTCCCAAGACATTGAAATATATGCCAACATCACACTAAATACCATCAGATTTCATCATTCCAAATTAAATCTCAAATCCATCCACTTCCTTCCATCCAGACTGGTAACATGCACCATCCCCAATCTTGCTGCCTAGGTAACCACTGCAGCCCAATGGTCGCTTTCTTCACACTCTGCCCCTTCCCAAGTCATTCTCCACAATCAGTGGTATTTTTAAAACATTAACTCCTTTTTCTATGGTCAAATAAACCTATGGTTTGCATCCACTGTGTGGATCAGATGAAAGGGAAAATTCATTGTACTCATGAGGAACTTACTTGTACATGGATCAGAGAATGGTTAAAGTCAGGAAAAGATGTGAGATGGGGGACTGTATTCTCTCACCATGCTTATTCAATCTGTATGTTGAGCAAATCATCAGAGAAGCTGGATTATATGAAGAAGAGTACAGCATCAGGATTAGAGGATGGCTTATTAACAACCGTCTGTATGCAGACAACACAACCATGTTTGCTGAAACGGAGGATGACTGAAAGCACTTGCTAATCAAGATCAAGAATTGCAGCCTTCAGTGTGGATCACAACTCAGTGTAAAGGCCCAAATCCTCACAATTGGACCAACTGGACCAATAGGTAACACCATACATAGATGGAGAAAAAGTTGAAGTTGTCAAGGATTTTGTCTTACGTGGATACACAACCAATGTTCATAGAAGTAGTCAAGAAATCAAGATGAGTAGTATTAGGCAAATCTGTTGTACAAGCCTCTTTCAGAGTACTGAAAGACAAGGATGCAACTTTGAGGACTAAGGTGCACCTGACCCATGCCATATGGTATTTGCCATCGCCTCACACGCATTTGAAAGTTGGAAATTGAATAAGAAGACTAAAGAATCAATCCACTTGAATTATGGCACTAAAGAAAAATACTGAAAGTATCATGAAGGGCTCAAAAGACAAACTGATCTGTCCTGGACGAAGTCCAGCCAGAGTGCTCCTTAGAGGCAAAGACACATACTTTGGACATGTCAGGAGAGACCAGTCCGTGGAGAAGGACATCATGCTTGATTAAGTAAAGGGACAGTGAAAAAGAGGAAGGCCCTTAATGAGCTGGATGGACACAGGGGCTGCAACAATGGGGTCAAGCACAGGAACAGTTGTGAGGATGGCGCAAGACTGGGCAGTGTTTCGTTCTGTTGCGCATAGATAGGGTCACTAAGGGTCAGAATCAACTCGATGGCACCTAACAACAACGGCTCTCTCATTTCATCCCGCCCCACCTTTGCGCTTCACACTTCCTCTGGACTCTGCCTGCCCAGATCTTGCTCATTTTCATTTGCATGCTGCGGTTCATCCCCACATCCTGAGAAAAGCAGGGTCCCCAGACGAGGAGATGGCATGAAGACCACATCTGACCTCCCCCAGCTCCACAAGGGGGACAGAGAATCACAATGCGCGCACATCAGCCCAAGGCTGATTTCTTTGAGTCATAGATCAGACATGCCTCCATCCTCCAAACTTTCTTTACCATACTCTGACACCAACCATGCCTGGCACAACACTCAACATCTCTATGTGGTTCAATAATCCTTTGCAATAGCCACATAAAACTCACAGATAATGCTTACAAATGGAGTTTATTAGGGAAGTCAACACGTTACAAGACTGGATCCAGTTCTTTAATTCACCATGTCTCTTCTCAGCCATGCTAGCAGATAACCCTCTTTCTGGTCGTTGGCCAGAGACCTCTTAGGCTCTCCCAATGCACGGGGTACATCTGCTACCTAAGATCTCTCAGAAGAGCACAGATCTCACTTTGAGGATCAAGGGGTGCCTCACCCAAGGCAGGGTATTTTCAATCACCTTAGATGCATGTGAAAGTTGGACATTGAATAAAGACTGGAAAAGAGTTAATGCATTTGAATTATGGTGTTAGCCAAGAATATTGAAAGTACCATGTTCTGCCAAAAGAGCAAACAGATCTGTCTGGAAGAAGTACAGCCAGAATGCCCATTAGAAAGAAGCAAGGATAGCGAGACGTTGCACCTACTTTGGACATGTTATCAGGAATGACCAGTACCTAGAAAAGAATATTATGCTTGGTAGAGTGGAAGAGCATCAAGAAAGAGGAAGCCCTTCAACAAGATGGATTGCACAGTGGCTGCATCGAGGGCTCAAATACATGAACAACTTTGAGATGGCACATAACTAGGCAGTGTTTTGTTATACATATGGTCGCTATGAGTCAGAACCAGCTCTATGGTACTTAACACCTTACCAGAGGGTATAAACCAAATCATCACTGTTTCCTTAAAGTCATGGTTTGCTGAAAGACAAAAACTTTAACTCCATCAAAGCCATTCTTCCATGTATAAGAGAAACACATAGAGGAATTCCAGGACCATCAGAAGAGTCACCAGTAGAGCACATTCAAATCTCCGAAGTGGCAGAAGCCAGGACCAGATGCACCAGAGGCTGCGGCATGGGACAGGGCAAAAGAGCTAGATGAGCCCACAGACCAACCAGACCATGAGATTGAACAAAGGAGAAGCATCCAGACTATGAGGCAGGGTAGCAGCTTGGCTTGCTGGCCTGTGGAGGTGGAAAGGCCAAGGAACCCCGTGGCTCTGAGGCTGAGGACTACAGAGAGACTGACACACTGGATGAAGAGAAGTATTGCTATAGATCAATGACTGTATTCTTAACTACTTACTGATCCTGACTTGAGGTAACCTGTTAACTTCCATAGTAAACTCCCTTACTGTTGAGTATTGTTTGAGTTGTGTGGCTACTGCAACAGAGTATCCAACCCAACAGAAAAGGAGCGTGCCGGCAGAGGAAGCTGGTGTCAGATAGGGTAAAAGGGCAGTCTCCATGTCTGGCCTGTGTCTGGTGGAAACTGCCCTTGTCCCTTGTATAGCCAGAAGAGGTCAGATAGAGTCCCCGTGCCGTTTTATATCACATTCACTGTCAGATTGATTATATATTGCAATATGTTTGGCATGCTTTAATAAAACATTATTAAACTCAATTTCACCTGTTTCTGCTTTTAGTATGTTTACTAGAAAACTGAAGATGCACGGCTCACTTATTTCTTTTGGACAGCAGTACTCCAACTATCAATTTCCTTTTTTGCTTTAACCATTTTTCAGTGTAAGTTTGACATACAGGAGTTTTTCATTCTTATATATTCAAATTAAGCAATCATTTCCCTGAAGGTGTGTTCCCATCTTTAGTCTTCATAAGCTTTATCCGCTACATGGGCATTGTAAAAGCATAACCTGGACTTTATTTCTTCACACACACACACACACACACACACACACAAATCTGGATCATCCCTCCCCCCCCCTCAAAATACAGAGAGCAAATATTCCTTTCTCCTCACATACATTCAACTTAGATAATACTCTTTTCCCAAGTTTTTATAGTTCATAATTATGGTTGTCCTTTTAAAAAGTACATACATCTATTAAAATGAAATGCTCATAAGCAAGGTTCTTTTAAAACCTATTAAGAGGTTTTAAGTGTGAGAATATAATTTTTGACACTTTTTTCTAGTAATGAACACTCCAAAGAACTTTGCAAAGTCATCCTGACTCATGAGATAGGTAATTGTTATCTACAATTCACAGATGGATGAGACAAAAATCATTTTCAACAAGATTACAGCTTTAGAGAATAGGGATTACAGATTAGTATTTCAACCTTTTTTTAAAACCAAGGCTTCAAGAGCAGTTTAAACCACATTTAAAAGCCACTCTACGTAAGAGGGCAGAGTACAGCTGGCCCAGTGGCTAAGCACTCCCCTACTCACAGAAAAGTTGGTAGTTTGAACCCACCACTCACTCCATGGGGGAAATGTGGCAGTCTCTGGCAAGACTACAGCCTGGGAAACCTCGTGGTGCAGTTTTATTCTTGTCTTAATAGGTCACCATAAAGTAGGTTTGATGCGATAGTAATGGGTTTCATTTGGGCACTGGGTTCTGAGCACAAACTAAGTGGACCCACTGATACTCACAAAGCTCAAACCAAAAGCCAGACTCACTGCCATGAGATTCCCACTCATGGCAACACTAGAGCAAAGTACAGCTGCCCCTGGGGGTTTTCAAGGCTAACTCTTTGCCAGAACAGTGCGGCTGCCTGAGGTATTATCTAAACCTTTAGCCCAAACTATCTCCTGAAGTCATCTTTAGACTAAACAACTGTGTAGCTCTACAGTAAGGAACATAAGCCTTAAGTATTGTGCACCCTGAAAAGATTAACAGCAGTGAGCCCCAGTATGGATGAGAAGACTATGGGAGCCTTCAATCTACATAAATTAAAGGTGGGAGTGAATCAATACAAGTGAAAATGGCAGGACTGGTGACACAAAATGAAGACAACCGTCACTGGATTGCATGAACAGAAATTCCTGAATGGGTGCTTCTGTAGATATCCATCAAAAACAAAATGTTTGTTTTTCAAACTGACTGAACAAACAATTGTGTTAAAAGCTTGGAGATCATGAAGTATAGCCTAGGTGAACAGCTTCGCTTTATTCTTTAGGGAAGTGGGTAATACTGCAAATGTGGACAAACTCCAAAGTGTCTTCTTTCCTAATTGATTTGCAGAACAAAGCAACTGTTACCTGTTAACTTGAATGACTGGCACTACCAGCTTTTATTTTGAAATCACAAGCACTACTTTATATGTGGAGGGGGAGGGGGGGGGTTCTGTAAATCCTCTTTGCATCCTGAAGTCTGAAGGATCAGAACAGGGGTGGACTTGGTAGCGTCTCCTCTGTTTTCTGTCAGTTCTGCAATGCCTAGCTCTTATCAAAGGCCTTTGCTGCTTTGAGTGGAAATAAACAGAAGGTCAGCCTACTTCCAACTTAGAAGTTCCGTGTCCTTCGGGGAACTCTTGGACCATTTCCTTCAGAAAACAATCGTAAGGGAGGCAAAGAAAATCCTGCTCAAGCGCCTTCTTCTGGGTTACAACTCTTTTTCGCCAGCGTTTTCAAAGATTCTGCAAACAGAACTGAAGAGTTCTGCCGTTCTTCGGTGCCAAGGCGGGCTCCCTCAATGACAGCAGGACGGACGGTCACAGCCCCATACTTCGCAGGCGAGACCCACGAGGTGCACCCTCTTTCCTACTTTGAGGAAATGTAACCCGTCGGGAGTATGAGATAGGGCCGGCTCCCACCGCCGCTACGGGAGTCCCCGCCGGACGCCGCGAAGCGCACGTAACGCTGGGAGACACGGTGTTCGGCGTCTCAGTCCAGACGGGCCGGCAGCAGCCGCGGGTCCCCAGGGTCGTGCTAGGGCCGATGGGGGTGGGGATCAGGGCCCGTCGGGGGCCCTCGGCGGCGGAGGCCCGCAGGAAGGTGCCCGGGTGGAGGAAGGGGAAGCGGGCGAGACGCCGGCCGGGCCCTCAGTCGCGCTCGCGCGGGGCACTCACCCAGGCGGTCGCCGGCGCCGCGGGCCGCCGCCCGGCCGCGC